TCAATATATTATGGGATTATCAATTTAGAGATATTAAATAGTTAAGTTTTTCAAAGTAATTTATTAAAAATAACTCGGTTTGTAAACACCATGATCATTTAATGCACAAGATAAAAATGTTAACCTACCTTCGTCCTCATATCCAGTACCGTACCACGCACTTTCCACTCTGTATTTATTAGGATTTTTCTGGTCACGTGTTACGATGAGCGGGGAAGGCAAAACTTCATGAACTTGAACTTGCTTAACAATGACAGGAACTTTTGCACAGACGACCAGGAAAAAGAGAGAAAGCACAATTATTAAAGTAGGCTTCATCTTCAAGACGTTCTACGAAATTAAAGATGTTTAGTAAGAATTGAGGGGTATGGATTGAAAGAATGGATTGAAGAGTATTGAGAAGATTGGAGTTAATAATTGAGTGAGTTATTTTGAAAAATGTTTCGAACTAAGAGCTTTTATAACAATTTCTAGGTCATTTTCTTTTATCCCGGGATCATCGGGTGCGATCTCCCGGAACGATGGTATTTAAATAGTGAAGATACATAGTGATCAATATCGACACGTATCTTCCAGGCCTGCTTACTGTAAACGTGAAACACTTAAAAATTAGGTTGCATGCACCAAATTTTCGAGATCCAATAAAAGTTTTTCAATCGATCATATATAGAAATTGCTAGCATTTAGCATATGAAATGCGCATTCGTTTTTAAATTAGCTTTCTATTTGTTCCTAATTGGCTTTTCAATATTAATTTATTACGAAGTTTCAATAGGTATTTTGTGATTGATGGCAGTACACAAAGAAAAAATAATCCCAATTGGTTTCTGAACCGGTTCGTGATCAATTTCTCATAGAAGGTTTAAATTCTTAGCTTTGTTAATTAAAACATTGTTAGTATAAACTTTAATAGTGCTAGATAAAGAAAAGGTGATATACAAAACGAGTTATTTTTAATAAATTACTTTGAAAAACTTAACTATTTAATATCTCTAAATTGATAATCCCATAATATATTGA